TGCCTTTTTTATTTCTAGGAAAGCTGTTTCTTACCCTACCAGAAAAGTATGTACAAGAAAGAAGCCTCATAGTATTCCCTCAAATAACAGCTGCAGAAGGTAAGTCACACAATGCAAAGAATACAGACAACCTGTGCTGCATACTGCAGCAGAAAAGTACTCCTACAGGACATGTAGAGACACACAGGCCAACTGCATGACACAGCAAGACAAACCATCTGATACGTGTTATGTTAGTAAAAGTGACAAGTTTTTCAAAAGGAGGCACTTTTCTTGGTCAAGCATTTAACACTGAGTATTCCTAAGTGCTTATGGCCAGCAAAATATATTGTAGATATAGCTTTAATTTCTCCCCATATTCCTCAACAGCATCATCCTACCTCTCCACATGCTCTTCTACATCATTATCTTGTCAGAAAAAGAAACTGATTCTTTCCCCTGCTATTTTGACTACTATACTGAAACTCTCTTACTTACTTTGATACAAAGATCCTCTTTGATCTTTAGAGGTACTTAAAAAACTACTGTATAAAGAAAGCGTTTAAATATAAATAAGTATTTCAGGGTATGACTTCTGGATTTTGATATTTCCATTGCACCACGGCTGATAAATTACTTGCTTTTTCCTTTAAAAAGGCAAACAGCATTGCCAGCATGAAAATTATTTAACTCCTATGACCTTTTCAAGATTCAGTGTGCAGAACCCATCATAAGAAGGCTAGTACAGCTGGCAAAAATGCATTGTAAGAAACTTAGTGGAAGGACACTTTCTTCCTCAAAATTTCAAGTTAAATAACCAAAGTAACACAGATAATGCAAAATACCTGTTTCCTTTTCCTAAAACCTCAAGACTCAACAGAAAGCTCTTAGCTGTGAAATACTAAATATAAGACATGAGCAAAGCATAAATTAAATGGCATACATAAAACTCATGTAACTACTGAAGTGAAGGTCATAGTCCTGACTGTATTCAAACTGTGACTGTAGTACGATCAAGCCTATGCATTTGAACCTTTATCCAGCATTTCATTAATGTGATCTTTACTCACCCTTGCAACTTCTTGCTAGTTTCTTTCTCAGAAACGCATACTTAGCATAATAAACTCAAAGCACTAAGTGATAGCTTATATAAATGCCATTTAAGTTACCCACCTTCACAAACCAAGAGTGATAAAGCCTGTCCCAGAGCTCTAGCACTTGTTTTTCAATCACAGCGGTGTTATTCACTTTTTCTCCTAAAATCTTATGAAGCTAAAACACATAGAAATCTGTTATTATACATGACAGAATGAAGCTGGCATCTACTGATGAACTCCAAGCTAGATGAATCATATAATATTGTCAGTAAAGCCAGATGACTAGAAAAGCAGAGTATTAGTATGGAACATAGACTTCAGAAAACATGGTTCACAACATTAAGATTTTGTCTGTAAAAAACATTCTGCTACACTAAGCTGAGGACTTCTTTCTGCACTGGAAAAACAATGCCTTCTCTAAAATGCTTAATTGAAAATCCTTGATCATCTTTAGAGTAAACGTTTAAAATAATTTAAGATTTGTGCTAGATATCAAAACACATAAATAAGAATCTTAGCAAATTCTCCTGAAGAAAGTTAATTTAAATAAATAAATTATAATATTTAAAAAATCCAATCTACCATACCCAGCCCACAAAGAAATTAGAACCCGGGTGGGGAAAAAGAAAAAGTCTACATTGACTACAATTGGACAACTAAAGAAGTAATCTTTATTCTATGCATTTTTATTGACAGTCTGACTAAAATGATGACAGATTTTTCAGCTCTTAAAAATAAATAGTCCTCTGATCAGAAAAGACTACTGAAATCACTCCCACTCTTTCTTCAACTCACAGAGTGGAAAGAATAGATCTGTCCACAAAACAGTTGGCCACACAGAAAAGAATCACTGACAAAAATATTTTTATTTCTTTTTCACGTTATGAAACAACAATCTAAAACATTAAAAAAAGTGAGGGAGCTCACTCTTACCTTATGTGTAATCCATTCTCGGCCATATTGGTACACATTATTAGCTGCTGAATTGAGAGCCTTCTGAATAACCTGGGCTTCTGGGAGCCAGCTATATTTTTTAAAGAAGGAAAACAAAATTAACTGCTACATATTTTTCACATTTCATTATACCTGAAACACACTACAAGCTAACTTTCTGAAACAACAACAAACAGTTAAGGTTCAATACATAGGAACTTACTACAATGTTATTATTTCCTATCACACATCAAGGGACAGACTTCCTCATAAGCAAAGCAAAAATCTAAGATGCCATTACAAAACAAACACTACTCAACATAACAGATGCCATGAGGAAATAAGCAAGCATATTTTGAAGTGCTTTCTACTGATTTTGATTACCTACATATTTCTATAGAGTGTATTACTATAGCATTTATTAACTACATCTTTTTAGTTCTGCTTTTGCAATTTTCTCTTGCTCTTATAATAGCATGCGCTTCCTTTCAATCCTGTTAAGCCATCATGGCTTTTGTTCAGAAAGTGCTCTTGAAAAAAGTCTATCATTCTTCTCCATTAGACAATTTTTTTTACCTGGTGTCTGGACTCACCTTTACTCAATATGGTTAGCTGAAGTAGAACAAAACCCAATTGGAACATTGTCTGCCCAAAAATCACTCTCCTCAATCTTACCTATTCCCCCTCTGTTTTTCATGCAGCCACTTCTTTGCCCACCAGTGTGCCCCTGTTTTTCTCTATGTGCATTTCTTTCAAAATCTTTCTCTCTTACTATTTCCCTTGACATTTGCTTTAATCATTACATAGACCATATCTTACCACCTTCTCACTGCATACACTATACACATCCTCTCTTAATAGGAACAATCCTTCCCAACTGATTCATACCCGCCTCATCCCCTCCCCTCCACCATTCTTTCCACCCACAAACTCTTTTTCAGTTCACTCCAAAGACATTTTCTTGAACAAGTATTTCCTCAAAGGCATTCTGCAACCATCACTCCACATTAAAAAAATACTTCAGTTCCCATCTCACAACCTTCTACAAAAAACATTCTTTGTCATTACTTTTCTTTTGGAGGTAAAGGGCAAAAGAATACTGAACTCTTTTTTTTTTTCTGCTCTATGCCAGTTTTTCTCCAAAACTGTAACTAGAAAAGTCTATACAGCTGTCTTTCTCTACTAAAGTCCAACTGGTCCTCAAATGAGATACCACATTGACAATTTTCCAGAGTAACACAAACACTACTGCTGTCTCAAA